TGCCGCGATAACCTTTAACGAGAGAGCGATTTCTAATATCAGCAACAATTGTCCCGCCACCGGATTTTGCTTAGATTGCCTCGGAGTCCAAGAAAACTGTGGATTTTGTTATGCTAAAGACTCCTCCAATAATCCTATATATGGTTCTTGTGTTCCAATCCATGTATCTTTCAGCGACAACACGGCCGCTTTTGGTAGATGCAGTCGCAATGATCATTCAGTAACATGGTCGTACCAAGCTTGTCCTTATAAGCATGCGTGGTTAGCAACTTTAGCTCTTGTGTTATACATCGCCGCGTTCGGTCTGGGGATGGGACCGCTGCCATGGACGATAAATTCTGAAATCTACCCCCTATGGGCCCGTAGCACGGGGTATGGGTTTGCTACAGCTGTAAAATGGTCTACTTATTTGGTACTATCCATGACTTTCCTGTCTCTGACTGAATGGATTACGAGTTTCGGGGCGTTTTGGCTGTACGGGGGAATTTCGCTTCTGGGTTGGTTGTTTTTCTTTGCTTATCTTCCTGAGACCAAAAATAAATCGCCCGAGGAATTGGAACATTTATTTTCATAGCGTGTGAAAACATTTTGTATTTTGTCTAGTTGGTCACTTATGGAACAATAAAATGGATGGGCGAAAAAAAATCCCTGAAACTTCTCGGAGAATATCGTGAGAATATGGGAAACTACATTATTAGTGCCAGACCCCTTACAGACCTCTCACCGGCTGGCGTTGCTCAAGGGCTTGTGCCGAAGCACTAATAATGAGGCATGCTCGCAACGCAGTTCCCTGCTGATAGTAACTAGACATTTGCCAGTCGTTTCAAAGTCTAGAATACACTGAGGGGAATTCTCATTGGCAACCCTATTACTAAATTGTTAATAAGTGGATCAACATGTGTCGGCCTCAACCACAGGCAGCCCAAGCTCCAGGTGTGAGATGATCATCTTGCGAACTAAGACTCATGACGAAAATGTAAGAGTTTGTATGGGAATATAAACGACCGCTCTTGGGAAGTGAAAATACAGTCAATTTCTCAATAAATACCTCACCTTACTTTCACAGTGCATTGCTTTTTTGTGACTGCTTACTTTATGGCAACCAGGTAATTTCAGCGAGTTATCCATTTCTAGGTTTACTTCTTCCACGTGAAGGACTTAAATATTCCTATACAAACTCCTATATTTTGGCCATGACTCTAATGTCGCAAGATGATCATCTCACAGCTGGAGCTTGGGCAGCCTGTGCCTCAGCTAGTTAAGTTGACGAGGACTGAGCAAGAAAATGAAATAACGCCTTCTAGTAGACTCTCTTTTTTCTCAGCAGATTTTCATAGTGTGATAACGTACAGATATCTGGCGGGCATGATTGAATATTCAAAAAATCGATTATTCTATACAGTCAATATTGTGAAAGTTTCCGGACGTTGATATCAAATTGTCAAAACTCTGGCCGCTTCTTTTACCATGAAAATTGGATTGAACAAGTAAGAACGGAGTCTAATCTGTAACTGGTTTGGTCATCTGGTGAAAGCACAGGCGACATAAGCGTACTAAGCGTGATTTCGGGTTTTTTAGAAAAGTTTTCAATGGGAATACCTTATGTAATGAATATGTGCGCTGACTGGAGTAGTGGGGCACCTGTGGCGAAACTTTCTCCTCAGGGACATTTAGCCAAGACGTGGTTTCATGAATTTCATTTTATTATTCAAATCGATCTTGATTTTGTTTAAGAAGTCGACCAAGAAAGCGGTCCAATACTTTTACTTGAAAAGAAAACCGAGAAAGAACCATCACTGGAAAGTTCTAATGAAGCGAAACAGAGAATTCCAGCGTGGGTGGAAATATCCACTTTCTTTGCCGCGCTAGTAACTATTCAGAAATTTGCATGCGATAGTCTTCCTTGACGTTTTCATAATTGTTTAGCGACCTTCAGGGTCAAGGACCGGCGCAATTACGTTACCATCTCTTTTGTTGTGGAACACGAATGGAACAGAAAAGAAAGATATGCTAATGAATAACAGTGACAAGCACACTTCGTCTAAACGCGTTTTTAGACTATCTGTAAAATAAACACGCGCATACGCGTGTAATACTAGACTATACGAGTCTGAGAAGTCCCTAATCTTTGAATTACAGCTCCACTC